CCTCTCCAGCATTTGTCATTTGTGGACTTTTGAATGACAGCCTTTCTGACTGGTGAGAGGTGATACCTCATTGTAGTTTTGGTTTGCATTTCTCAGATAATTAGTGATACTGAGCATTTTTTCATGTGCCTATTGATAATCTGTATGTCTTCTTGGAGAATTGCTTGTTTAGGTCTTCTGCCCATTTTTGGATTGAGTTGTTTGGTTTTTTCATATTAAAGTTCCTCTTGAAAGGGTTGATTTCCCATCTGGTACTTTCTCTACTCATGGAAAAGAATAAAACTCTATCCCTTTTATTCACTCTGCCAGCCTGTGGCTGAGGAGAAATTGGTTGAATTAGGGGATTGAGAGGAAAGAAGGCAAACACTTCATTCCTCAGTCTCATGAAATCACGGTTAATATCTAGACAGAAACGTCTCAAGAGAAGGCAACCTGTCACACCTCCCTTTGCCCCTCTCAAAGCTCTGGAGGGACAGTGCTCACGAAATTGCTTTTGTGCGATAGATTCAGTCCTCGGAAGTCTGTTCTGTCATCCTTACAATGGGAGTAATAAAAATAGCTCTCCCAAAGTGTTGCTGTGAGATTCAGATGAGGTAAAGGAGCGCAGGGAACATGATGAAGGGTGTGCTGCTTCATTAGATCCATAGTCAGTGGTCTACAGCTGCCTCCTTGGCTGCAGCCTCTAGACTGGGAATGGAAACTGCTATGACCACCTTGCAATCATCTTGTTTATTGTGACAGTAGCTCAGCCCTCCCAGTGGTGTCCAGGCTCTGCTTGAGTCGATCACGGCCCCAGGGCTTGGTGTCTGAGTTTTCTCTCCTTTGCTTGTCCTTGTCACACTCACCCTATCACCTCAAAGTGGCAGGGCAGAAGCTAAGTTCACAAAGCCATTCTACACACAACAGCAACCTACTTCATGGCTCAGGGCCTTGTGAGCAAAGGTTTTCAAACCTTCTTAACCGCAACTCACAGTGAGAAATACGTGTTGCGCATGCCCACACCCTCGTGGATATGTGTGTGAGTGTAAAATTGCCACCTCAATCCCATTGCATGCAAAGCACTCTGAAACTTCCTCTTCTATCCTTTTTCTGTAAAAATTTTTTGATTGGATTTTTAAATTTTTTATTTATTTTATTTTATTTATTTTTTAAGTGGAGGTACTGGGGATGGAACCCAGGTCCTCAAATATGCTAAGCATACAATCTACCACTGAGCTACACCCTCCCCACCCCCAGTCTATTCTATTGAGTTTTTTTAAAAAAACATTCTGGAAGCAGTGAAACTTGTCTGTGCTTACAAATCTCTCCTTCAGCCTCCCTACTCCAACATCCCCACCACAATTTTGAGTCTTTTGAGCCTCTTGGGCACGTTATTTTGGTGGTGTTGAGTTTCACCCAGTGACAGCACTCCCAAGCTGTTGCTTGTATGTTAATTAGTCAGATAGTTTGGGATTTGACTCGAATGAAGAGCCAGATGAAAGAGTCATTCACATGCCACTGCTACAAACCAGCCAATTCAATTTAATCACATCTCTCAAGCTTGGACCCAAATTCTCCTAGGATACTTGGTGTATTGATTTACCAAAAAAAAAAAAAAAGAAAGATAAATTCATGTGTGAAGAGAATAAGATTTATTTGAGTTTGGAGGTTTCCAGAATTTTCCAGTCTATTTAAATTCTTGATCCCCCCTCACTTTGCTTAAGTGTGCTTTTCCATTTCTGTAAGAATGATGATGACACTATAATGATAATGCACTTACACTTTCTTAAAGCCCTTATACACATAAGGTAAGCGAGGCACCGAGAAGTGAAGTAACTTGTCTAAGGTCACTGAGCTGGGAAGTGTTGGAAGCGGATTCAAAGCCAAGTTTGCCCAGAGTCCATGCTCTTAAGGTTTTTGAAGTAGGTCATCCCCCTGGTCCATTGACTATCACCCAGAGTCTCCCCAGGGGTACTCACTTGAAAGCACACATTTAACATTTTCAATACTTTTTTCCACACATATGTAGCAAGTAGCAGGAGGAATAAAGGCAGGCTTAGCCAGCTCCCTGGGGAGGAGGAATTTCAGCTGCTCTTTGCTGCCTTGCTTCTCCTTTATGTCTTCAGTGCAAAAAAGATTTCTGAATATGGGTAGAAGTGTCTTCTGACTCTATACTATAGTATTTCTCAAATGTATTGGACAAAGATGTTGAGGAGAGTGGTAAGAAAAAAATCTGTGTTGCAATATCAGATAAGATCAGAAGACAACAGGTTACCAGTTTTCAAATAGAGTGTCCTGCACAATTTCTCTGGTACTTTAATAAGCCCCAAGGAGGAAAGAGGGCAGATACTAGGACGTAGGACTTCTAAATATTTAACCACAGAAAACGTTTGATTCCAAGGAACGTATCCCAGGAATTCTGCAAGAGAGGTGGGATCACAACTTAGAAATTTGTCTGAAATGCCTTGCAGGTGTTTAGGATGAATCATACTCATCACAGGGAGAAACTCTTTCAAATATACATGCAGACTTCCCCTTATCACCAAATTGTAATTCGCCGGGACTAAGGGAGGGGTCTGAGGCATGCATTTTTTTTTAATTTATTTTTTTTAATGGAAGTATAGTCAGTTACAATGTGTCGATTTCTGGCGTACAGCATAATGTTTCAGTCATGCATATGCATACATGTATCTGTTTTCATATTCTTTGGGCATGCATATTTTTAAAATATTCTCCCAGGTGATCTTAATATGAACCTACCATCATGTCCTTGAAAATCTATACAAGGGAGGGAAGGTGCTACTTCCAAAAAAGCACTCATCGCAATCATGAGAACAAAACCGCCACCTGTGAGCGTCTTACGTGTGCTCGTGCCTTGCTGGCATTGTCATTTGTCCTCATGACCATCCTGTGAGGTGGGTGTTACTACTGCATCTGATGGATGAAATGCCTGAGGATTTTTAAACACCTGCAAATATGGTTTGTTTGGAAATTTATTACCTTCAATAATAGATATTCATGGCTTTCATTGGCTTGTTACTCTTGTTGGCTGTGAGACTTTCACCTTTCCAGAAGGGTTTTTTTGTGGGTTTTTGGTTTTTTTTTTGCTAATCACAGAGATTTCTAGAAACTCCCAACCCTACACCATTTGCCACACCCATGTTCACCAGGATGTTCTGTTAATTCACAGTCAATAAGACCAGCATTTCTCAAGCCGGAGTCCGCCAAACCCTTATCTCAAGAGACAGTTCTTGAAAAACAAG